CCCATAATAGGGGTCATACTATTTTGGGGTCTATATTGGGTACCCCCACCCCCATTTATGGAAACTACTAACACATACCTAGACTCCAAGAATTATGCGAGCATCTTATGTTCAGGATCATGCAAGAACATGAAGAATTCTGTCCATCAACCATATCCATACAATCACAACTGCTTGTCAAGACTTCTGAATCTTTACCGTGACGTTACCAAGTATGCCTGACTGGGAGCCTAGATATGTGCATGTAGGTCATTTCCGACAGTAAAGTCTCGCTTCAGTGCCCGAAGAGCAAGTGTACCAAACAAAGCCCGACTTCCCAAGAAAACGAGAACAAACACAGCTCTGGTAAAAAAGACCCAGGTAGTTCCCAAAACTGGGTTCCCATTTTGGTACCCTGAATACTAGGTGACGTAATGTATTCTATAACCAGAAGAGGCCCAAAAGCATGAGAGCAACCCAAATGTAAGCTATTACTTGGGGCTTTGAAATTCAGGCTTCGCATACATCTGCCAGGAGACTCAACACTCGAGTCCCCGTACTGCCACAACGACAGGTTGGCCTGACAGCAGAGACATGCTTGTATCTACACACAGACCAATATTGAGAGCTGAATAAGTAACAGGTCGAAAGGCGGGGTAATAGGGCTTGGGTTCAGTGGTCTAGGGAGGAAGCTGCCAAAAATGCGCTGCAGTCATGTTTCATGTAGGCATGCTTGGGAATTCCAGAACCTCAACGCCAAAAACCGCCCGAGGCTTACTAGCTGCAAAGAGTAGCCATTCAAGCCTCTGAATCCCAGGAAGCCAGCGTTTTAGTTCTGGTCGCTGGTCGCCCCCAGAAGTCAAGTCAAAAGGCCATCACGGATTGAAAAGAAGTAGAACTTTGGAGACACCTTCATACACAAACATCTGCACCTCACCCTGTGCGTTCCATCCTTTTTTCACTCAACTCAAGATAAGGAGAAATCCCCCACATCAACCCTACAATTCCTGAAACAATGCATAGCTGGATGTCGTGAATACTTTTGCATCTCAAGGATTCTCCAGGACAAAGTGCGGAACATGAGGTTCCGTACACCCCAAACATCAGGATATGGGGGGTACAGTACACATGAATGCTACGAGCATGGTTAGGAGATAAGATTGGTTGTTAGTCAGGCCTCTACATGAAAACTCCCGAGAATGGACTCAAATCCCAAAGCCCTTAACTTCCATCACCTAACCGTTGAAATCACTCCTAGAACCTTTACATGCTGCGTACCCTGCCACACGAAAGGGTAAAGCTTTCGGTCATTGCGGGGCCATAGCGACCCAAATAAGGGCAAGGTTGCCTACTCAGGTACTAAAAATAAAACGACCTCGGGAAACCCTAAACCTTGGGTACTGCCCCTCCAGTAACAGTCTTTATTAGGCGTCCCATTAAGGGCTATATATTACCATATTATAATGACTATCCAACTGTTAGTGAGGGGGGCCAGCACCCAACCTAAACCTTAGACCCTAAACGCTAAACCCTAAACCCTAAGTCCTAAGGTCCTGAAGCCCAAACCACGTGCGGGATGCCTTCTCGAGCTCATTTCGGTTCGAGCTCCGGCCAGGAGTACGAAGCAAGGAGCCGCCGGAGAGCCTCGGAGATACGCCCACCGCATGAGCCATAGTCTAAACTCCTAGTATCCTCCGTATAACCCCTATAATAGTTCCCTATATAATTCCCTATAGAACCCCCCTTTAAGGAGTTTAGACTATAGCTCACATAGGGATTTTAATGGGGTTTTGATAGGGGCTATACAGGCCTATTAGTGGGATAATGGAAGAGAAGGTGGAAACTACTATTTAGGTTTTAGGGTTTAGGGTTTAGGGTTTAGGGTTTAGGGATATTCCCCCCCGGTAATGGACAATTAAATGGAAATTTGAATGGGAAAATGAGATGGAAACTGGTGTTATAAGGTATTCAATTGGGATTTGGGTGTAGTCTAAACTCCTTAAAAGGGGTTATATAGGGGATTATATAGGGGACTATTATGGGGGTTGTTAAGGGGGATACTAGGGGTTTAGACTATGGCTCATATGGTGCTGGGGGTTGGGGTCTAAGGCTTTGGATTAAGTTGTAGGGTTTGGGTCTTGGTGTAGGGTTGAGGGTTTAGTACTTCTGGCTGGGGTTTAATAAATTGGGGGTCAAGCTTAGGGTGTAAGGTTTCGTGCTTGGGGGTCAGGGATGAATGTTTGGGGTGTCGGAGTTGGGGCTTAGGTTTGATACTGCCTCCACGCTGGGACACCTTCAATATTGCAAAATCTTGCAAATTCAAGAATACTGTATCATACCATACACCGCGTAAGCAACGTCATAGCTACGTGCGTTATAAGGTCCAGGGTGGGGGCAGCATCCAAGCTAGCAAGGGCAGAATTCCACGAGAGGGCAAGACGGAATCTGCAATGATTACAGTCTCGGGTGGCCAGCGTGGTCTGCAGGATCTATCGTCTGGGCTCGAAGCATGACATTGGGAAATGTGCAAGACGCTGAAGCCATCTACACTATAGTCGAAACTCCTTATATCCCCCTTGGTAACCCCTATAGGATCCCCCTCTAAAATCCCCTATATAACCCCTCTTTGCTGAAGAGTTTAGACTACAGCTCATCTAGCCCGAGCCCGAATTTCGGCATTTGAAGGCTGGCTCGGAATTCTTCAGCCTGGACGGTGATCCCAGGAAGCACCGAATCTGCTTTATGCAGATGAGAACGACATTTTGCCAAGATTTGTGCGACGTGTTTGGCTTTAAGTTGCAAAGATCTATGCAACAGCATCCCGAGCAACCTTCACCAGGATGTGGTTACTTTCCACCACGCATTTTGTTATCTTGTCTTGTCCTGGGTGAAAATTATGGAGGTGCCACGTATCCATAAACGATTTCGTTTTAGCCACTAGAAAACAAACCTGCTTTTGAGATCCGCCGACCTTGGGGGGCGTGTTGGATGGTTTCAATAGACGGACAGGGTGGAAAACCCTCTTCTTTTCTCCCTTCCGGGCTGCATTTCTTTGGGGCTCGCCACCTCCGAGGCAGCCGTCTCAGCCGACTTCCACCCCTTCGCCAGGTTCCCATCAGGTGATTTTTCAGAAACGAAGAAAAATCGTGGTTTTTGCTTGCCGGAAGCAGGGTCCCAAGCCCCTTGGGCACGGGCCCTGACATTTCTTGCACAGCTGGCACCAGTCACCAATCGGGCTTGCCAACATTGGGTGGTCCTGCAGAATCCCGGCAACCTGGCTTGTTGTGGATTTCCTGCACTGCCACTGAAAACAGCAAAGCTGCGGAGTCCCGGCAGCCTAGCTTGAACTAATTCTGTTAGGCAGAGGAGGTCCAAAACCCTGGGTGTCCGGCTGGGGGCTGCCCAAGCATGCTCATCAAGGGCCACCCCAAGCTAGGCTCATGAATGCCTGGACACATGGAATGCATTGTTGGTCCTGACACGGTCCTGGCAACCTGGTTTGTTGCGCCGATTGATTTCCTGCGCAACCACTGAAAACAGCAAAGCTGCGCAGTCCCGGCAACCTATCTTGAACCAACCTTGTTGCGCCGATTGGTCTCGTGCCAACCGCTGAAAACCTCAAGGTTTAGGTGTTAGGCTTTCGCGATTTTTCCGTCTCTGGGTCGGCAGACTGAGCCGGAGGCTCTTAACTGGAAGCTGAGAAGCTGACATAATGGGATCTGCCGAAGGAACGGGCTCCATTCTTCTGAAGAGCTTCGGGGCTGAGATCCCTTATCTAAAAATCCTAGAATCCATCCATTCTGAGATGCATTCACATGACATGCAAAGGCTCAACGGAAGCACCCGACAGTGAGGTATGACTTTAAAAACAACCATCAGAGCAGTCAACATAACAACGTAACAATGTACAGCCGTGCGCAGTCGAGAGTTGGAGTTGGGGTGCGCGAAGCCCTGCGACTTCTTGATGAACCCCTTTCGGCCAGGTCTTTGTGCCAATGCTGCGTGCATAGACAGCTGCGAAGATCACATCAACTTGTGAAAGGATTGAAGGTTGCAGGCTGCAGGTTACACATGATTGACAAGAACAGCTATAACTTTAAAACTATCTTTCAAATTATAACAGTAAGAATGGAAATAGAAACAAAAACAACAATGATTTCCAGGAATGTAGTTTCTACAGGACCCACCATGCGAGGCTTCAAGGGCTCAGGGTTGACATGGAACAGCCTTGTGCAAAGTTTACATCTTTTTCCAGATGTAGCAACTGCTGGAAGCCTCGGGCATCAAGCTTGCCTGCAGAAGAACATCCAGTGCAGCTTTCAAACCGGAACGGCAATTGGCCGTACACATGAAGTGGAGGGAGCGGGTTCTACCGCCCGTAACAAGCATATTCCAAGCATATCTTTGAAACTCTCACCATCTTACTATCAGCCCTAAACATTAAATCGTATCATACATCCCTGACACTTCACATGTTGAAGAAGATCGAGCACCTTTGTGCTCCCTGAGAGACCTGACATCCTAAAATAAAGGTTGGGTCAAGATCTAGCAGAAGGATTTGGTAGCCCCTAAAAACACATAGAAGAATTAGATGGTCCGGGTTGTAGGGGCGGGCGTACCTATAAAACCCTAAAACCTGAAGCCTAAACCCTAATACTAAACGCTACCTCAACACGGACAGGTCATCCCACGAGTGGTCATTCGGTCCCACTGAAGCTCCGGCCCACATCCTACGCTTCTGTAAGAACTTTGGCTTCTGCATTCAACAACCCCAAAAAACACCCCGTATGACCCGTCTGTCGTGAAAATTTCCCGTGTTCCTGTGAAGTCCATTCTCCAATATTACCCTAAGCCGTTGTCCCGAAATAAGTGTGTGTGTGTATATATATATATATACCCTAAACCCTAAACCCTAAACCCTAAAACCCTAACACATATTTTTATGCATGTAGTTGTATACCCACCCGCCTAAATCAGGAAAGGTCTGGTCCCTGTGCTCATTAACTCTCACAGGCGGCCCGTCACTTGAAGGCCGGCAGTCCTGTGATCGCACGTCCTTGGTGCCATAGGTGGTTTCAAAAATTTGGGGACCCTTTTAAGGGGAATAAGGGGGTTGTGTAGGGAGAGAAAGAGAGAGAGAGAGAGAGAGAGAGATAGAGAGATATATATACATATATACATATATATATACAGGGATCTATAGGGTTTGCGTTTCCCAAAACTACTTATCGGTACCAAATGGGGGGTCCTACTACAAGGATTACAGTATTTCGGGGTCTACATTGGCGTCCCACATTTATGGAAACTACCAGGTTCTTTGATTACCTGTGTCAGCGTCCAAGGTTTGAAGGCTTGGGGTAAAGGGTCAAAGTACTCCATGACATCATACTTGTTACTTGCCGTCATTGCAGTTGACGTTCAACGATACCAGTGACAATCATATTGGTGCTCAAAATGCGTCCATCTTCTTCCACATAAACGGTTCTAGGCTGCTTTGCACAGGTCAGAAAGGCCGCAGAAGCAATCAATACGATTTGACACATCTACTCTGACCTATGTATCCCAGGATCTCTTGTCGGTGCTCCTCAACACCCTTCACTCCAAAAATGGTGACCACCTCAATCCTCAGCTCTGTAGCCCTTAACCCTGAACACCTGAACCCCTTAACCCCGAAAAGCCTGCACCCTAAACGCTCGAATCAAAACACATAGAGATTATACGCATAAACCGATAAACCCCTCACTCAAGCCTTATACTTATGCCCCAAACCCCCCCACCCCTGCCTAAGACCAGGGAGTGGATGTCGGCCGTGCCCTCGTATGTGTTGACCGCCTTGGGAGAAATGTCTGGGTTTGCTCAGGAAATTACATGGATTCCGGTTAACATGCTACAGCAAATAACTGGGTTGTTGTTAAGGAATTTAATCTAAGTTACTAAATTCGGGAAACCATATTGATTGCCATGTATACTATCATGGTAACTTAATTTGAGTTCCTTAAATCCCAACATTCCGGCAGTTTCCATTTTCTTTTCCATTTGATTCTCCATTATGGGGGGATAAGGTCCTTAACAATAACCCAGATAAAGTGCACGGGGGCCAGCTGTAGAGGTTGCTGGTGTGACTCTGCATGAGGCATTCTCAACTTATGCGTATATTAAAGTATATTTGATTACTTTATAATATACTATGGTATATTATAGTATATTAGAGTATATGAGAAAATATTATGGAAAATGATAGTATGCTAGAATGTATTCTAATGTATTATAATATATTCGAGTATATTATAGTATGTTAAAGTATATTAGAGTATGTTAAAGTACATTAGAATAAGTTGTAGTACATTATGGTATTTTAGAATATAATACTATATATTAGAATATAATATAGTATACCAGCGTATAATAATGTGGCATATTATGGCGCGGTATCGTATGTCTTTGGGTGCCGACCATAATGTTTATTGGATGCCAGTTCTGAGACACGCGTGCACGTTTTTCCTAAAGTTGGTGTCCTTGTTTCCCAACTCAGAGATTTCCAAAGCTGATGGGCGGGATTCTCGGTCAAGAGTCGCTGGTCCCAACCCCTAAACCCTAAACCCAGGGCGTGAGGCTGGTTCGTCAAAGTGTCCGGAGCTTGGGGTTACATCGTCAAGCTTTTTGCATGCAATTGTTGAAGGATTTCAGTCATCACCTGCTTGCGAATTTTTAGCCCTTAGCGTTTAGGGTTTCATGGTTTAGGGCTTTAGCGTTTTCATCTCTGAGCCGTAAACCCCCAACCCTCCATCCAAACTCTCAACCCTTCTCTCTGAAATCCTCCGTTCCCAAGCCCCCAACACTACTCTGAACCCTCAACCCCGCAGCTACAAAGCCCTGAACCCCCCTACACCCGTATATCCCTATAAGAAACCCTATAATATCCCACACAACCATTACATATTATACCCCTACCTTAACTTAAATTTCCACCCTGAAGCTCAAGCTCAAGCTGAGAGCCTCGAGGTTGCAAACATGTCGGATGATGTGGTACTCATCCACAATTCCGTTGCCTGCATCCATCTACTTGGAGGGTCATGGGGACCTAGTTGGATATAAGATAATGGAAAAGAAAATGGAAACTACGGTTGAGGGTTTGGGGATTAGGGGTTAGGGTTGGAAGGTCAGGGGGACTTAGTATATAAGTAGCCAGACTTTGTTAACCTTGTCAATAAAAGATCTGGGGTTTAGAGTTTAGGGCTTAGAATTGAGGCCATCCTGAACATTGTAGACCAACGCATTTCCGACAGAAGCCCTACGAAGTCTTGAAGCCCTAACGTTTATGGTTTAGAGCTTAAGAAAGCCACCACCCCAAACAAAAACTCCAGACCCTCCTCAAGCCCCCTCTCCAAGCTGGATCCCTGAAGCGTCAGCTGGGTCCTAAGATCTGCCCCAAATTGGGATTCAGCATGCCTCCCAGCATGTCGCGGCAAGTGCGCGCGATTTCCAGAGCCTGGTTTCCGGATTCAAGGTTTAGGGCTTCGGGGATGACACATACCCTGGATCTCTCTACTCTAGGCAGAGGTCGCCGTACCGCATCTTAACCGAACATGAAGACAAGGCTTCGCCAGGAGCAGAAAAAGCTTTCCATGGACCTAAACTGTATATATCCTGCAAACCCCTTCAAAGGGACCTAGGGGTTCCATTTCATGTTCCATTTAGTTCTTTGCCACTTGATCCTCCATCATTGGGCCCCGTACCCCCATGAACTCCAAAAACCCTTAACGCTAGATGGTACTTTCCATTTTCTTTTCAGTATCCCCTATATAACCCCTATAATGACATAGGAGCATCGGGCCCGATACCCCAATAATCCCATCCCCCCGATATTAAAACCCCCCACCCACCCCCGTAATCATATTGGGAGTGCTTTATATTCGGGGTGGTGGGGGGTGGGTTTTAAATTAGGGGAAAAACCTAAAACCTAAACCCTAAACCGTGAACCAGAACCACAAGGCCCATGCCTTGGTGCACGAGTTGCGCTTCATCATGGAGATGACGTTAGAGTGCAGCTCGCCAGCCTACGAAGTCCCTACGGGGCCTGGGGACATATAGAAACGGGGTTTTGGGTTTAGGGTTCAGAAGGGGATTCTGGGAGCCTTTATGGGAAAAAACAACTTGAGAACGTCGGGAGGATTTTTCAGCTCTTTACCCCTATCTACCTCTGGAGCAGACCCTACAACCATCATCCAATATGTAACCCCCATGTAACCCCTATGTAATATAACCCTAGAACCATTATACCAATATGTAACCCTATAACCCCTATAGAACACCCCAGTTGTCTAAGTCCAACTCGTAGCCTATGAGTAATTCACAGTACTCCTCATCAGCAACAGGCAGGCAAACATGATTTGGAAAAGAGCCAGTGGCCTCCTTCATGCGCGTGGCTTGCAGAACCGCATTCAGGCCGATTGTGATGTCCTGTCATGCTGAAGAAACTCTTGCGAACTGAATGCATCGTGTGTCTGTACTGAACTCAGAGCATGTGTTGCCATGTTCGGTCTCAGATTTCAAGTCTATGGTTCTAACGAACTAGAACCATACGGGGAACATACATCCCCCCGGTGAAACCCATCTATCTCCAAGCAACCCAGAAGGCTGAGCCCAGTGCAGTCAGCGCATTGGCCATCTTTGCCTGAACCTGCAACAGCATGAAGAGGAACCACCGTGGGACCAACCGAAGTCGTGTGGTTATGTTAAGATTCCAGCGGCATACAGAAAGTTCAGGGACAACAGATACAGGGTGCTATACTCAGAAGCTGTCTGCCAAATTTGCTCAAATGAGCGATCCCAATATAAAGTCCTATATGCTATGTTACTGTATTCCTTATCACGGGAATCCCCAGAAGAGGACCCCCAATTTTTTGATTCACCACCGATCCTGCTGGCATCTAGGGCAGGATGCCTCAAAGCCGAAACCCTAAACCCTAACACCTAAACCTTAAACCCTAAATTGGGGTTGTGGACTTAGGATTTAGAGCTTCGAGCGAGCCTAGGAATATTTGATTTAGGTACACTCCTGGAAACTAACATGAAAAACTCAAAAGGGGCCCTATAAAGCCTACAGTCTCTCTAAAACGGGGCTATATGGGTTTCCCTGTTAGTTTGGGGGAGTGTAGACCCCCCTGCCTGTAATGGTGGCATAATAGGAATATAAGAGGACCCTCATGTAGTTGCTGTCATCCGTTATAGTCACTGGTACAAGGTGGAGTGTCCACCTAATATGTGATATAGAAATATGGGACTGCTTTTTTTCTACGTGTAGGACTGCACTGTGTTCTGGAACCCGAAGTGCCTCCCTTTTCTCCCATGATTTTCCCCGAAAGGATTTCCTCTAAATACCTGTATCAACGTTCCCTTGCAGCCCTGGAATCTCTCCAGCTGCTCTTGCTGTGCGAAACAACAGCACTAAGCACCAAATCAGCTCTCAAGGCACCTACGTTTGGGCAAACGAGGGTTGTCAACAACTTGGGACTTGGGACAGAAAACCCTGAACTCCATGTGGGGTTTCAAACATGGGGTCCCTGTCATAGACCCCGATAGACACTGGAATCCATATTATGAGAACCCCCGATCCAAGATCCTAATTGAAAACACCTGTATGAATAAACCCTTACTGAGGACGCTACCAGCTGGTTGGCAGCAAGCGGGCGACCGAATTGCTTCCTGTCCAGGGTGTAGCGCCTCCAACAGACTTGAATGTCTCGAATTTAGGGTTTTGGGCTCTCAGGGAGTTTGAATTTGGGGTTTAGGCTATAAGGTGGTTGATAAATAGTTCGGGATGTATCATAGGGGTCGTTTGGGGCTTACGGCTTGTGCTTTGGCATCGTTGGAGGCGGCATACTGAGCTTTGGGCTTCACTACCTTGTGCTCACTTTCCCTCAAACGCACTTGGAACCTGAAAAAATGCCTTCAATACGGGAGCTCCATGGACTTCCATACAATTCGCGCATGTTAATTCAGGGTTTAAAGGAGGTTTGTGTAAGTGGAATGCACTTCAGCTGCGGATAAGTTGTACCTTAAAGCCTAGACCCTAAACTCCTTTGAAACACTCCCTTATGGAGGGATCCTTGCCTCATTCCCTACCAAGCGCGACCCCCAAATAAACCCCATGTACCCGTACCATAGCCCTTACACACATCATCACTGATCATCACCCCCAAATCACCCCTAGAACCCTTCATACTCATTTCATGTTCAACAGTTCCTTGGGGCTATACTAGAATAAACTGGAAAATGCTTTAAGGTGCTAAGAGAGATAGGGGTACTGCCAGACGTCCTCATACCAGCATGCCCCCTAAACCCCAAACGCTAAACCCGAACCCCTAAACTGAAGACCCCAAGCCCCATACCCTAGTCCCAAAAAACTAATCCCTAAACCAAGACCCCTAAATAACCCTTAAGGACAGGGCCACTTTCTGCTGTAGGCCTTGCTGCTTCGAGGCAGAATTCTGCAGCGCCCAGGGCTCCCCAGGCGATACCTCCATGACAGGGGGGGTTTAGGGTTTAGGGTTTAGGGTTTTTAAGGGGCTTTACGGGAGTTTAAATGGCATTTTAGGGACTTTGGGGAGGTGTAGGGCTCGAGGGTTTAGGGTTTTCATTTTTTTGGGGCCATGGGACTGGGGGCCTTCAAGGAGTTTAGGACTTCGGGCTTTGGAGGCTTTAAAGGGGTTTCAGGCTTTTAGGAATTTGGGGCTTAGCCATTCTTCACGAGCTTGGTAGGAACTTTAAGGTTTTGGGATGGGATTGGGGATTCATTTCTTGGAGCTTCAAGGGGCTGAGAATAAGAGCTTAAAGTCCAGTCCAGGGCAGATGCCTTGGGTGTAGGGGTGAGGGTGGAGGGCTTGGGTTCTAGGGTCTTGAATGGAGGCCCGGCAGTCAGCAACCAACTGTCACAGGTGGCAAAAGTGTGTAGTAGGGCTTCTGGGCTTCTTGCTAGATCTTATTCAAGATTTAGGATTCAGGGAAGTTGCCAGCACGTGAATCTTAAGCAACATGTAGGGAGCATCCATGACTGGAGGCAGACAAGATCTCAGAAACATTGCGAGGTCAACAACTGAGGACACAAACAACACTGACTGATGCCGAAAAACTGCATTGGTTGGGTACTGCCCCCACTCAGCAACAGATGGATACTATTTATAATATACTTATATATAGCCCTTAATAGGACCCCTAATATAGAGTGTTACTGAGTGGGGGCAATTTTACTGAAAAACACTAGTTCGCAACAGTTATACAGTGAGGGCAGCATCCAACACAAGTTCTGCCCCTAAACCCTAAACCGGCAAGGGGCACCTAGGCGAGCTGAGTTCAGACAGGCGAAAGGCCCCCGCATGCCAGTGACGTTGGGCCTCATGATGATCATCCACGGGTTTAGGGTTTAGGGTTTTGTGCGTGTGCCCCAAGGTCGTGTCTAGGAATCGGAGAAAGACAGTGAAAAACGCCATGTGAGATCGAAGCTTCGAACACCAAGAACACAATAGCAGCAGACGTAAATCTGAATCAGCATGACCATGGAGGGGCAGTGACATACACATCTGTAATCCTGTCTGAGGAACTAAGTTCTGAACATTCTGCCAAGCAGCATGATCTTTATTTCCACAGGTAAGATTTGCTGAGAGCCCGATGATGGAAGCTTTCGTGCCCAGACTTTACTTGAAGGTCCAAGGGCACCTGTTAACATGATTTGAAACCTGTGTTGACAACACTTGCTTGCTCATGAATGAGAGCGCCAAGCAGTCATAAGTACCGACGGAAATCGATGGGTCTCCCAGCACTAGGCCAGAGCTTTTGAGACCCGTCACCCTTCTTTTACAGCACAAGCTTTCCCACAGGTTCGGACTGCATTTTACTGCAACTTTTCATGTCAAGCCCAATCAGGGAATTTTCCTGTGTACGCTTAGGGATTGTACCCTTTGGCTTTGGGGCCCTAAACCATGGAAGTTATGGGGACCCCCAAAATGATACCCCAAATTTTGGCCGACCCTAAACCCTAAACTCTATATATCCCTATAGAAGCCCCTATATCCCCCCTGTCCCCCTTACAAAGGTGCCCCTAATTTTCTGAAATCTCTATGTCATCCCTCCTTCCCAAAAGCTCAGGACTGGACAGCACGTTCTCCTTTGGAACTTTCACGCCATCCAACTGAATCATCCCCTGGGACAGAGATGAAGAGGGGATGTAATATAGGGGCTACATAGGGGTTATAGAACTACAGGTGTTATGTAGTGGTTATATAAAGGGATTATATAAGGGTTATATAGAATGTATTTATACAGGAAGTATATAGGGGGATACAAACTGCAAGATTGGCACCTCGAGCTTCGTCATCACTGCTCTTGCTATTATGGTTCTGCAGATTACCAACATGTTGCTTCTGGTGTACACCTCCAGCCTGGACCCAACAGTCTTAGGGAAGATAACCACATTCGGCCGCGTGTGGTCACCACTCATGGTCCAAAATCGTACAGTTGTAACCCCTCTTACAACATCCATGGTTCGCCCTTCAGAAATGAGATCCGGGTTTGTGACCTCTCGCCAAACTTTTGGCACAACCTAACCGCCAAGGTGGGAACTTGCGCGAAGCTGCAACTGAGACCAACGCGGTCGGAGAAGCTCTCAAAGAGAACTTCCCCTCAATCTTGGGCGTGGCGAGACCCTCCAGCAAGAGGCAGCTTGGTGTACTCCAGAAGCATAGTCCCCCGTGATGGGCTGCTGTTATGTGATTCTCGTCAAGTATTGCCCAGTAGCCTAGTCATCACATGGATCACCGGGCCTTCAGGGACACTCAGGTCTGTGGCGTAGCTGGGAATGGCGCTTCTGGCTAGGGGATTTATCGGTTTGGGACTTAGAGGTTCAGATGGGTTCATGGTCTATGGATGAGCTTCTAGGGGTTCAGCTTATTGGCCTGGGCCTTCCCTTGCATGACCAAGAACCCACTCATACTGCGAAGCCAACCCCTGCAACCTCGAACTCTACGTCCTGAATTCCGCGACCCAAGAATCGGCACGTGCCACAACATCCTAAAAATGTTTGTGACATCTGTACAACAAAGACAGGGACAAAACTGAGAACTGCATCCAAGGCCCGGCCGCAGCAACAGAAAGAAGAAGAAGACCAACCATGGAAGCAAAGATACTAACCCCTATGAAAGGTGTTCCCATGTTATGAGGGGGAGGCAATGAGTCCTCATAACCTCAAACCTCCTTGGAGAGGCCTCCATGCCCCGCTCCACCAAGAAGCCACGGACCTGCACTGCTCAGGGCTCTGGATGGGGTTTAAGGTTAAGGGTTGAGGTTAAAGGGTTCAGGGTTAAGGGTTTGGGGTGTAGGGTGTAGGGTTTTAAGGGTGTAGTGTTTAGGGTTTAGGGTTGAGGGTTTAGCAGAACTTGGGGCATATCAACTAGGGGATACCCTTAGGGCGGCTGGGGGCCGGGCCTAAACACACCCTGGGGCATACTATCTGAAGAAAAGCTGACATAAGTGGCCCTTCGGAAGCTATGTATCGACAGGTCGGCGGGATCGAAGTGTGTTCAGGTATGGACGTCCCGGTATCCCGATACAATCCCGATAGAACATTAGAAATGATTAGACCGGTGTTTTCCGTTCAGCCTAAACCCTAAACAGTAGTTTCCATTTTCTTTTCCATTATCCCTACATAACCTCTATATACTAAAGTTCTTTCCATCTTCTTTTCCATTATCCCTATATAACCCGCAAACCCTAACCTTTGTGTTTCCGTGGTCTTCTCCCTTCGATTCTCCATTGTGAGAAAGCCAAATGGAGCTCAAAACGGTCCGAGGACCAATGGGTGTAGAGTACTATATAGGGGTTATAGGGGATATATTACCATTATTTCCTGCAGAATATACCCTAAATGGTACTAAGGTCCCTAGCATGAATAAAGCTATATTCCTGTGTCAAGAAATATCGGGCTCCCTGAGCACCAAACGCTAAACGCAACAGCTCAAACCATTTGAGGATCAGAATTCTGCAAACAGAGTCAGGTAGCTCCGGGCTCAGAGATTCAGCCCTGAACCCTGGACCCTACATATCCCTATAGATCCCTATACATCCCCTTTAAAGTTACGACTAAACCCTACGGGGCTTGAGTAGTGGCCTTGTCGTCTGTGCTCGTTTTGGCCCAGACCTTGGATTCAGCACTATGCACTGCGTATGCACTGCGTGCTGGGCGAGTTCATTATATACATATATATATATATATAGATAGTTTCCATTTTCTTTTCCATGATCCCTATATAACCCCAATATTACCCCCATATAACCCCAGTATAATGCATCTAGCCAGGCATGATACGTTGACGAATGGGTAATCTGGCCTTTGGTTAGGCGGGGAGGAAGCAACGATGGAAAAGAAAATGGAAACTACTATAACGGGGTAATATAGGGACTACTGTAAGGATCCACAGGCCAGTACCGTTGTAAATTAGATGCGGAAGGGAATACTACAAATCACGTACTGCCAGAAAACTGACATATTATTGGCATCGATGGGGGCAGCAGATACAATCTGAGGCGCGCGCAAGGCAAACGTCAGCAATCGGAGAGTTGGTGATCCAGTTCTTTGCGCCGCTCAGGACAAAGTGATCTCCCTGACCAGAGAGGACTCACGAAGGTTTGACCAGAAGCAGACTGGACATACACTGCCCTGGTTTAGGGTCTCGAAATCGTGAGACTTTACAAGCAAGGCTCTGGTTCTGATTTCATCTCCAAATAAATTGCACCTTGTCCACAGCTCGTGTTACCATGCCGCTGGGATCCGAGCCTCGCAGTTTAGGCTGTGGTTTAGGGTTTTTTCCTTTGGAGCTTTAGGAGTGTCTCAGGGGTCCCTTTAAAGTTTGGGTTTAGGGTTTAGGGTTAGGGTTTAGGGTTTAGGGCTGTATGAATATATTCTGGGTTTGGGCGTAACCCCTCGCACTTTTACCTTTGCCAACAGGCGTTGCGTTTAGGGTTTATAGGGCTCAGGGAAAAACAGTTGAACGTTCAGGGTAATGAGTCGGGGCTAGAACTGATTTTGTAGTTTTCAAGGATTAAGAAAGGGCCTGACAGGTTACGTCTAATCTCAGCATTACTTCTGCAATCAAGACCAAGAAGAAACCCCTTTCTCGTCAAATTCTCAAGTGCAAGGTAAGATTTTGTACTAAGCATACGCGAATGACATTCATAACTGCAGCAGCAGGAGGAGACGGGATAAAGGCTCTTGAACTGGAACCCCAAACAAGGAACCCAATATAGCAGGAATATGATAGGAATATACCTTACCCATACCCTCAACCCTAAACCCTAGACCCTAGACAGTGAACCCTAAACCCTGGACCCTAGACCCTAAACCCTAATCTCTAAAACTGAAACCTCTTAACCCTCCACAGCATGACCTAGCAGATCTGAGGATCTCGCCATGATCCGGTTCAGTCAAGCCGAAACAACCTTGCAACACATGACATGGGTTAGGTTAGGGGTTATATATGGTGTCAGGGGTTATATCGGGGTTAAGGAGTCATATACGGGGTATAGGGGGTTATATAGGGTGAGATATCAGGGTTACATAGGGATTGTAGGGATAATGTAGGGGTTACGTTGTGGCTCTGTAGAGGTTAAATAGGGGTTTTATAGTGGTTATATTATAGGGGTTGTATAGGGGTTTTGAAGGGGCTACCTACAAGGTACATAGGGTTTAGGGCACATAGGTGCTTCTATCGGTCTTATCTAAGCTCTCGTTTGGGCCTTAGAGTCGAGCAGCTTTATCAAACTTATAGGTTCTTTTTGCATGTTTGCAGGCTGCTTCTGTTGGGGGCTTCTTGCACAAGCTAAAACAATGAAGTTTTTTAGGGGCTGAGGCCGCCTGCAGCTCTTCGGACCCCCTAGAAGTAAAACGGAGATCACTCAGGAGCAGACTCAGGGAGCAGTGTGCCCTCTAGGGATTCTGAAGAGATCATATTGAGAAACTCCACTTTGTCCCTCACCCTGTACCCCCAAGCAGAAAAGCCCTGACAGAAGAGTTCACAAGGCCCTATGTTGGACAACTTGTAGGTAGACGGTGGTTTCGAAACTAAGGGTCGCCGTGCCATGCTCTCAGATACTAATACTCTCATTATGAGTATCCGCGAGAAGGAACCCCAAACTTTTGCAAAAAAACCCTAATTATTGCAATTGGGGCCATAGCCGACAAGTTCGCCGGTCGCCAGGAGAGGCAGGAAACGCTGCTTCTGCTCCTGGTTTCAGGTTTCGGGGTTTAGGGTACCCTGGTGCTGTATCCAAGTAGCTCGCAGAGGGGAATGCTAGGCCATGCTTGAAAGAAACTTCATGATAGATATTTGGATACCATCTCAAGTGAACTGGGCAAGTTGACAAACTCTTGCAACTGTGGCTCACTGCTCTGGTGACACATGCTGCGAGCAAGGGAGCAGTGCCTGTGAACCGAACAGGTTGATCGGGTTCATGACCTGACCAAGTCTTGCTGCGACTTCCACAGAAAACCCGCTGCTGATGTGCTTTAATTCACCCTCTAGGCTGCCTCTCTTGTTAGTGTCTCATGCTTGGCTGCCCAAATCCCAGCAGTAATGTAAGAACGCGACCAGTGATGACTGTACAGACAGCGTCGACCGATAGGCGGAATCCACTCGCTCAACCTGCTCAAAACACAGCTGGCAGGAGAAACCGCTCATTTCAAAGGACTCTTCACATCACCCAGAGCGCTACTAACACCCGTTCCTAGCGAAGCCATGCGGTGAGAGGACTCTGGTAAACCTCCAAAAATTGGGACCCTGCCATAGTAGTATGTCAGGTGGACCCCCCACCCAGTAATAGTGACTATAATTGATAATAAGGACTATGTTAGGGTCCTCTTATATTCCTAGTATACAATATACCACTATTACAGGGTGGGGGGTCCTCCTAGGTAATATGATTTCTGCATGGTCCTAACTTTGGAGACCTAGGTTACGAGAGGCCCTCTATCACTATGGAGGCTCCTGGGGATGACTTATGAGTTCCGGGGTTTAGGGCGTAGTAATTTAGGGGTTTAGGGTTTAGGGTTTAGGGTTTAGGGGGTTTAGGGGTTTAGGGGGTTTAGGGGTTTAGTGTTTAGGAATATAGGGTTTAGGGCCAGCACAGCACACAAATTGCAAAAGTTTAGCTCCATGTGCCCTTCCTCTCGGGCAATCAGTCCATATGCCGTGGCCGATGCCCCGGCACACCCGTATCCTCAGTTCATGACTGAGCCTAAGATGCTGCCACATTAGTCCCCCTTAAGGGATTATAGGGGTTATATAGGGATAATGGAAAAGAAAATGGAAACTACTATTTAGGGTTCTATTAGGGTTTTTTGGGGTTATATTAGGGTTATCTTGGGGTTTAGGTGGACCCCCCACCCAGTAATAGTGACTATAAGGGATACTAAAGATTATATTAGGGTCCTGTTATATTCCTATTATACCACTATTGCAGGGTGGGGGTCCTCCTAAATTATGGGTGTGTAAGGTTCAGGAACAGCACCCCATATAATGTAGAAGCTAATGAAAAAGAAAATGAAAAACTACATGAAAACAAAACTAGCCTTTTATCGGGATCACACGGATTATGCGAGCATATACGGATAATGGGGGGGTCCTTGGGATTATACGGGGATTTTTCCACGACAGCAGCAACAATCAATAAGAAAAGGAGCTATGATCATTCCTTTCGCCTCGCAACCCCTTGATTGTTGACGTTCTCCATTCGAGACCTTACACATTGAGGTGGGATCTTAACATTGAGGCAAGGTGACTTTCAGGACTCTGCTCACAGATGGGGCCCCAGCCATCGATGAAAGATCCAAGCAATCCAGCAGCACCCATAGCCTCTCCCAGATCAGCTCAGGGCTTTCAGATTTAGACTCCTACAGCGACAACATGTGCTGATGTCGAGATATAATCTGGGAATGTCATGGGGATTGTAGGGGTTCAGAATTTGGAGTCTAGGGTTTGAGCATTCATGGCTTAGGTGTGTGGATGTAGAGCTGCGGAAGGTCTCATTGCCGGCAACACACCACTTCGAATGAATGGCCCACTGATTGAGCTCCCGCTAGCATGCCGACCATGCCTTGAAGAGGCCCTTGTCAAAAGATTCTTCCCGGAAGCCTTTTAGCACCTGGCAGACAAGAACGTTTGCTGCACCATTCCAATCCAAAATCTGGTGCCCCCAACCCTCTTGCCAGTCCAAGGGCCCTAAACGACAAAGTCCCTGACCTTCTTTCGGGATGCTAGGGGGCATTCTGAAGGGACCACATGATAAGCATACAGCTTGACATCCTGATATCTACAAAACGAGTAATCTCCCACGAAAGGGACTGATAGCTTACAAAAGGGCCACAACCTCTTCACCAATTCTTTATCCCAAAGCTCTTCTTCACAGAGGCTGCGCCTACGCGTCAACCGTGAAAGTTGTCAAGCAGAAGTTGGGATGCGCATGGAGCTGTAACACTCTTCTTCAATCCCACGTTTGCAAGAACACTGCGTATGTGCTGAGATGAAGTTATATCATCTATCTCAAGACAACCCTTAATTCAGATGCAAAAGCGGCCATCTAGGGTGTTCCAAAATCAGGGTCCTCTTTAGGGCCCGAAACATAGTAACGCTCCTACAGGAGATATAAGAAGACTGTCCTGATTTTTGGCCGCATACAAGAAGCGTCACCAGGCACCCTGGGCATCAACTCTGTGTCCGCAAACTGCCGGGCGGCGTCCTTGATGAGGATCTCCTCTCGAAACGTTTCAAGGTTTGTCTCTGGGCAGTTTCGGGGACTTTGTGTTGACATTGGCGTTTAGTGCTGCGACTTTATGGCAGTGGGGCCTTATCAAGGTCTTGCCATGTCTTGCCCTTCATGCTGGATCCTAGAATTCTGTGCTCCTCGCAATGCTTTTTCACCTTAATCTTCACCAGCCAGATTCAATAATTTGCCCCCTCTGATTTTTCAGCTTTAGATGGGAGACTGTCCTCAAAAAATCCACAAAGGACCTCTCCCATATTCGATTGCTGCCAAAAATTCGGAGTGTACGCCTTGACGCATCCTTGGATACTGCCCAAAAAACATGTTCCCCGCTCAAAGGTTGTCAGGACTTGGCAGCCACCTCCTCTGTCAGTCTGCTCTCCAGCCGCAACATGTCCTGTGCGCATCTGCTGCAGATCCACGCCCAGGATCCAACGCACCGCTTCTACAGCTGTTGCTGCTTCCTGCTACTCCTCCTCATCCTCCTCCTCCTTCTCCTTCTCGTACTCCTACTACTCCTACTACTCCTACTACTCCTACTCCTGCCCTTACTCCTGCCATTCTCCCTACTCCCATGCTCACTCCCACTTCTACAATAAGTCAGACACCTATCAGTGAAAAGGATATTCCTACAACTACCACCACCACCAACACGGCTCCTAGTGCTACTACGACTGCTTCTGCTGCCGCTACTACTACTGCTCTCGATAATGACCAGAAGCGATGAGAGTGTTGATGGTGTGATGATGGTGATGGTCATGTTAGTGCCATAAGATGGTTACAAGACTTCAGAGCAAGAATGATCGTGGTGCCGCTAATGGCACGGCAAATGGCAAATGCAACCACACAAGTCCCAACCATCTTGGCGTCTCGAATATCACTCACACAGCACGGCCTGTACGCGAAGAATAAGGAAGGCCAAGCCCATTTTCTGAAGAACATGTTCACATGAACACAGCACGTCAACCGTGCACCCATTGGCATAGACCAGACTTCGTTCAAGTAGAGCCGCTGATTTCACAAAGTCAAGAGCTTCTGTCTTGTGTTTAGCTTTGAAACAAAATGTTGGGCGTTATATTCAACATGCGGTGGACAGCGGCGAAGTGTAGTGTCATGTCGTGGGCAGCAATGGGATCTCATTGACAATCCTCCAAACTCAAACTGCACGCCCCGAACCCTAAACCCGGGGCGTACCCACAACATCCAGTTGAGATGCCCAAACACCCTGAAGGTGCTCAGGGCCCCTTGACTTGAGAATCCCCACGGGACCGCAATACTCAATGTTCGCGAGCCTTCCAATGGACTTCGCTGTCCTGAATTCATGGATCTTGATTTGCATGCACCCTGCCCTACGGGTTTGGCTCTGGATCTAGAGTTTGGGGCTAAATTTCAGAATTGATATTCAGGTTTGGCCTCACTCCACATCATGAAGCCTTTTTCCGGGTCCATGGTAATACATACAGGGTACATTGTCTTCAGGATACATCGGACTATTATTATCTGTGGTCCCTCTAGTTACTACTGATATCCTGAACAATCCCCATAATCCCCGTACTCCGTAGGATCTCTACCTATAACACCTGCGCTTAATGTACTTGAGAGGAAAACAATGACATCAAGCCAAGCTTCCCAGTCATAAGGGTCTGCGCCCGGCTTGGGAGCCTGGGCTGAAGGAAGATGTGCGGCTTTCCCAAAATTAGGGAATCCTCCTCGGGGATCCCCTTAATAAGGATTATAGTACTATGGAGTCTATATTGGGCCCCTTATATTGGGAAACTACCATTTAAGGTTTGGCTTTAGGGTTTAGGGTTCACGGCTTAGGCTGTCGGGATGAAAATTTTGGACTTGAGGACAGGGCTACCTTTTAAGGTTGTGGCCTTTGAGGCTAGGATTGTTCGAAGTTGTAGTTCCCAACTGCCGCTCTAGGTATGAAACATTGGGAAACCTTTCCTGAGTACCTTGGATACGACCCTACTTTATGCTAGATTATAAAGAAAGTGCCGTAGCAACAGGCATGCGATTCTGAGCTCTCAGAAAGCGACCCCAGTTTGGACAGAGGAGGTGTACGTCTGCACGAAATGACGAAGACATCCCTGTGTCAGCCGAACAGGGCTCAAAATTTCCTCAGGAAATTCAGGCCTACGAGCCAGGTCGTTGACCCTCAAGCTCCAGACACTTCCCTTGCAGGTACCCTGGATCACGACAGGGCCTGAGGTTTAGAGTTTAGGGTTTANNTTTAAGGCTTTAAGGCTTTAAGGCTTAGTCGTACCATTTGTTTTCTTGACTCGGAGGCTTTATTTGTCACCGTACACCAATGGGGATTATGGTCATTCTAGGGGTCATGGGAAAAATAGCGGTTAATTATAGGGATCATAAAATGAGTATTATAAGGGTTGTAGGTATAGGAATCATGGGCATGTTCTCTAAACATTGAACACTGAATGTTTCGATGCCCTGTTTACACTTATTTAAACCCTACTTCACGCTGTATCTGGAAGTTTCTGTTTTTGTATGCCACCTTATAACCACCCATGAAACTCCAAAGCATTCCCCTGTGCACCAAACCGAATTCCTGAACCCTAAACCCTTAAACCCTCAAACCCTCAAACCCTTAAACCCTTAAACCCTTAAACCCTTAAACCCTTAAACCCTCAAACCCTCAAACCCTTAAACCCTTAAACCCTTAAACCCTTAAACCCTTAAAC